AATTCCCCCCCCCCCCCCACCACCAGAATTGTTTTCTTGTTTGGTGAAACATAAGTTTCAGTGAATATCTCTGGCACTGCTGAATTCTACTGAATACCTATGCTGTATTTATTTGATTTTAAAAGTTGTGGCGGGAAAAGAGATTATTTTACTGATTACATGTCTTCTAGATATTAATATTCTACAAGATGAAGGAACATTTTCCTCTTATGGCATTTGGTGCCAATGCCATTCCCACACATCTCTTCATTGATTCAAAACAGTTGTGTGATACTATATTCCCAGTCTTAGCCATACAATCTGAGTTTAGAAACATGGAGCTAAAAGAAGGTTGGCCTCATTTTCATTGTTCCAACAGCATGAAAAGGACTGTAAATTGTGAATGAGAAAATTTCACTTTCATCTCTTTGACACAGACAAAATTCGTTAGGAAACTTAATTTATAAAGAAGTAGTATAAGTAGCTTATATCCGCTGTTCCATTTGCTGCTGACTGTTCAAAGTCACAAGTTCCACCAGTGCTTTACTGAAAGACTGTGCATACTTGGATAAAGCCTATTCAGTAAGTGAACATCTCCCAGCATGGTTTCTCAATGACCATGATTTGTGCTGAACAACAAATGAGCTATTTCATTAAGCTCGTTGTCAGTGATCTTCTGATGAAATGGTAATGGTAATTACTGCTAATGCAGCATATCACGTTGATACTTGGTAGGGCCACAGTCTGTTAAGTGGCCGAAGGATTATCTTAGTCTTCAGCTGTATTTGGGAAAAAAAAAAAAAAAAAAAAAAGGAAAATCTAAAAGAATTCTTTTTGGCTTCTGAAAGATCTTGAATATTTGAGAATGTTGAGGATGCAGAGATTTCTGCACTGATACTTTCAGGAAAGAATGAACTCTTGTATAACCAATGAATGTACAGATGTTATAGTTATGATATATACTGGAGAGTTTGGCTATACAGTTATTATACCAAAACAGAGTAGATAGAACACTTACCCATATCCTGGGCTCTCTATGAAACTCCAGAAGAGGGGATCTCCAGAAGAGATCCTTCCCTGCTGATAGCCAGCTCTTAAATGCATCCAGAGTGGTGCAGCCAGGCTCCACCCCTTCCGGCAGCACAGGAGAATTGCCTTCACCTGTGCTCCCGTGGTTGACTCAGTGCTCGCCTCAGGTGATCAATCAGAGGTTCAGGCTGTGACTCAGCAGTTCCCATACAACTCTAAAGTAGCACATGCTGAAAAAGCATTTGTGTATGCATCAAAGTTCCATGAAGGTACAAACAGAGCGCAGCCAAGACTGTGCAGAGAGGGGTCTCTTGAGGTGGAACTCACTGATTGTACCACTGGGGCTGCTGCTGCTACCAAGGGGAGAGTACGTGTACAGCAATGTGTGCTTGGGCAACTGCAGTCCTCCTGATCAGAAAATCCATAGGACACTTGGCCAGAAAACATATATCACCTGCCCACCTTTCTTCTCTTTCTCCCTCTCTTTCCCTTTCAAAGCCTATCTTTCTTTCATTTCTTTTTCTTTCCTCCCTCCCTCTCTCTCTCCGTCCTTCTCTCCCTTCTTGGGGCCAACTTTGTGATGCTGGGTTGCATAAATCCCATGGGGAGATGTGCTGTGGGCTCACTCAAGGATGTGGATGTGCCTGGCATTCACCTGCTTGAAATAAAAAATAAACATAGGAAAAGAAAATAAAGAAAAAAATACATTGAGTTGAACAAAATCAAAACGTTTTTTGCCCAACTGGGTACTTTTGTTTGAAGAATAACTACAGATGAGTAAGGTAAGCCTGTAGAGATAGTCTTCGGGACAGCTTTACGTTCCTTGGAAACAAAGATTTTCAGGCATGTTTGTAAAGCTTTTGGAGTCAGCCTTCACTCTGCAAGTCCATCCAGAGACACCTAGGAGGGGATGACTCACAAGAAGAATCACTGACACTTACTTCACTGGCAGCTCTAAGGATAGGAGAGAACAGCACAATTCAACTGTGTTGGATGAAACAGAATATTTTTATATCCTATTATAGGTGAGAAAGTATGACAAGCTTGTAGAAAGCTGCCCAGAGAATCTCTGCAGGCTGTATTTTGCCATGCAGCTCCACTGAAGTAAATAGTGAGTTTGAAGACAGGAGAGATCTGACATGTGAGAGTGTCTGAGCATCACTGACTGATGTTCCAAAGCACAGGGCAACCTCTGGTCTCCAGAGGGAATGAGGAAGCAGTTCCTCTGCCCCATGGATGCATTTTTCTCTTTACCACTGAATGTTGATTTCTCTGTGATCTGTAAGAGGCTTAATAACTAACTCTTAATAATTTTATTTTTCATCAAGCCTTACATTCATAAGAGAGGAAGCCATTCCTTGGAAAGGAAAAGCTCAAATGCTGCTCACACTGCTTCACCCACCTGTACTCTCCAGTCTCCTTCACCACACTGCAGGGAGAGTTTCTAGCATTAAATGGTTCATTAAGTGGGAGATATGGGCTCCCTTCCAGTGAAAAGAGAGGACATACAGTACCAAGCAAATCCAGTATTTTTTGTGTAGACAAGGTCTAGGTGACATGTTACAGGGGAAATAAAATACAGTGCAACTCATTTAAGACATTCTGCTCACCAGAAATTGAGGTTTTGAAAAACTCTCAAGCAACTTAGTACACCTGCAAAATAATATGAATCTTTTCTCTGTGTTCGAAACTAGGGCGAATTATACCCACGTGTATACTGAAAAGTCTTTGCAGGTGGGTGTGCTAGTTCAGCTTTTGACTGCTGAATCTTGGATACTGAATTAATGGTTTTGAGATTTAGTAACTCACAGCTGTAGTTTTCTTATCTTTCACACCGTTTTACCTTGTGAAGCAGAAGCAACCAGGCAGCAGAATTTAAAACAAGCTCACGCAGGATGTTACTGTTTGTTGTACCTCATTTTGCCAGAAAGGCAACTAAAATGAAAATCACTAATTTCCTAAAGAATAAAACATGCACTAGTAAAATAATAAAAATAACAAAAATACCAATAAATTGTTAATCAATTTCTGTCAATCTCAAATCAAGTAATGCTGTTACTCCTAAAATATATGACCTTCTCATATTTTTTGTGTGTGTTTCACAGTATTTACCAGAAAATTCTTGTGCAAAAACTTGGTTGAGCAGTAGGGAATTATACGATGACTGCTGCAAGATAGCTTTTGTTAGTTATATTAATTGCTGTTTAACATTTATGAAATGTGGGATGCATAGCTTTTCTGTCCATGTTTCCCAGTGTAATTTTTTTTTTCCTTTTTTGATTAATCCGTGTATATTCCCTGAACAATGTCCACATACTAGGTAGCAACAAGTATAAAACCCATCTTGAGGTACTGGATTATTTCCTACCATTTAAAATTCACTCCTTTCATGTTTTCTTGTCGCTTTAGATCTCCTACTGTTCAGCTGCAGTGCCTGCTAACAGTGAAACCATCTGTTTCCTGACTTGAAGTACAGTCGCAAGTAAAGGAAGCTTTTGCACATTGCCAATGCCATCATGGCATACACGCTCCTGCCCTGGTGCAGGCTCTGGAAGACATCTGTTTCACATGCAGTTTGCCTCTGTGCCATCCATTTGGTTATATTTGAGATTTGTATGCATTACCAGTATAGCTCACATGCTGGAAACAACACTCATGTCAGATTTCATAAAAGAATTGAATCTGAAATGCTGAGATGTGGCAGCTTCACTTCAAAAGTATGTATATATATCTGTATGCCTTTTATATGAAGTTTTTGCTCCCAGTTTTCTAGGAAGTAATACCTTTCACTTTTACTTCATTAAATTTCCTTCCTACTTATCTGTCTATACACACTTCTTGAATTCCTAAAAACATGTGCCATTGTAATAATTCAGTCTGATTCATGGCTTCATGGTTTCTTTCCTTTCAAACTTTTCTGTTTATTTGGTTTAGTGAGAAGTACTGGTGGTAGGAGGACAGCTGGACTAGATAATCCGAGAGGTCTTTTCCAAACTTAATATTCTATGATTGCATGATTCTATGTGTGACTGGCATATATGTATTTCATTTGATTTTTATTATTCAGGGTTAATACAGTCCTGAAGCCTTTTGCTGATCTGATCAGAATATGCTGAGTTTCTCCCTTTTTACCTGCATTTGTATGTAGTTTTGTACAATACAGTGCTGAATGAAAGTCTATGATGTCCCCATTTGGCCACTGCTCTCTTTTGAGTATCTTTATTATGCATTTCCCAGGGAAACTTCACTAACTTGCATCTCCGCATGAGAATCAAATGACTGAATGCTCTTCACTGGTGAGTAAATGAACTGATATAAGTAAAGAAAAGGAAAGATAAAGAATCATAAAATGCACTTCATCTAACTGAGTTTTGCATCTGTATTCTTCCAGCGTATGGTAGGATGGGACATGGATTTCAGAAAATGCAATAGAAATAACAGTTGTAGTAGTACACTGTGGCTTCCACTGTTCAGTCTTTCCTAAGAGCTGGAGAGAGATGACCATATCGCCTGTGGAGCGTAAGATGTATCTGAGCAAACCTGGGCTACTGGTAAGATTCAGCTGTGCAGAAACCTGACTCAAGGATCACTTGAAAAGGGAAAGAAATGTATCTGATTCTTTTTCTTTTTAAAAAATAATATATAAAGGAGGTCTAATGGAAACTTTTAAAAGAAAATGTTTCTTTTTGGACTTTATTTAGGCTGTAAATTCAAAATTCAGGCCTATCTTAACTCAGATAACTCCTTTTTAGCTGGAAAATTCATAGCACTGTCATATAAGAAGTACCAGTGGTGCCTGATTATTTGACAGAAAGAGTTATCTGTACTACACTGTTAAACATTTTTTCTTTGCTTGGCTTTTTTGCTAACAGTTACTGAAGGTGAGTGCATTAGAAACACCTGGGTGTAGCAATGATCTTTGTTAAGATTCACCACTTTCTGCCCTTTTAAGTTTTGTGTCCTGCTAACAAACTGAAACCTCTTTCCAGGAGAGCCAGAGAGGCTGAAGCTTCTTGCTTCTCTGTGTGGGTTGAGGATGAAAGAGACGAATGAGAAGTAAGGTAAAAGGCAGCTTTTTTTCCACACATTGTGTTTTAGAAAAGTCATTTCTGATGCAGAGTAGCTTGAAAAGAACAAGGTGTTAGTATTGATTCAAATGTAAAACAGTGTATTTTTAATTTCCTGTGAATATTTCTCCAAAGAAAATTGAGAATAAGATGGAGAATACAGTAAAACTGTGTTTGTTGCAGTTCTGATATTCAGATAGTGAGACAGACTTAACTCAGGGAACTGTTCTATGTGTTTTCAGTAGTGGCTTTTTCCAGTAAAAATGTCAGTTTTATAACACAGTCATGATTTCAAAACACAGCAATGCAATATTCTGGCTGAAATGAAAGACAGACTACGCATTTTATGTCTGTATGTTTTCAAGCCTTAACAGTAAAGCTGCTTGTTAGTCTTTTTTTAGAACTTTGGAAATGAAACCATGCTAATGATGTCAGAAAGAAAAAAGAGTGATGCCTCAGGAAAAGACAGATTCTTTAGTTTCTTTCTAAAGAAAAATGGAGTTCTTTCCAATAGCCAGTTTTTAGTTCCACTGCAGATTTCTGGTGTGGATGCAGGATGATCCTAGCAGCTAAGATGGATCAGTGCAGGAGTATGCCTGGCACTTAAACAACAATATTTTTATTTTTATTATTAGAGTTCTCCCACTAATAGACAAATCAATTATTGTTTATATAAAGTCACTATGTCTAATCACTCACAGTAGTCTAACATGATGATTATCTAAGATCCCTGAAGCAATCATTCTACCTTCATTCTCAGATTGGAATGACTAATGTGCGTTTGTAAGTATGGGGTAAATTAATAATTTTTTTTTTTTTTCCTAGTAAAAGACCTTGATGTATTGCTTTTCTTTTGGGCTGTGATTTATTCAAAAGGAAGCTTCATCCTACAAAGAGCAAACAGCTGTTTGGGTGATGAAACTGCTATATGTATACAGAGTGTTTTGATAGCCAGTCTCTTGATTCTAGAGGTGAGATATGTACTTTCCAGAGGCAGTGAGTATCAGATTTCTGATTCATTCTCCAAGCAACCATTTTTAGATAATGCAATGACCTAAATAAAAGATTCAGCCTTTGGGGCATGAGTGGCAATGAGGCCAGTTTCACACGGCATTTAAGTATTAATCTAGTATATTAGCAGTCATTTTCCTGGTCAAATGAGAAGATTGCACAACGACAGTTTGAGGCCTAAACCAGGGAGACTGATACTATTTTTAAATTCTCTGGGAGGACACTGCAGTTGCGAACGTGCCACCTGAGTCTTTTGAAACTTGTGTACATACATTAGCTTAAGTCTGTAAGTTCATTTCTGGCCCTAACAAGGGAGGACGTTTCAAGTCTCTACACAACACTGAGCTGCGGGAGGCCACAAAGGACATATCTGTGTCCGCTGGGTGAGAGACTGAGTGTGGTGCTGATGAACAGAACTGTATGTTAAAATATCAGGCAGTCCTTGTGCCTGCTGCTTAATGACTGATATTTTTCTCCTGTGTAGCACTTTCCAAATGAAGAGTGGGAGTGGGCCACTGCCCTAATTGTGGCACGTGTGAGCAGGCTGTGAGATTGCCCTCCCCAGACACTGCTTCCAAAGGCTTGGAAATGAGCAGCACTTGCAGTCACAGTGATGTGGATCTTGGTATCAGACTGAGGATTATTCTCATGTATTTTTCAAACCTCAAACATGCTCTTCCCTGTCAGAGATGTTTGCTTTTTCATTAGCTTATGCAAAATACCTTGTGACAGTTAAAACAAACATCCATTTAAAGCTTTTAAACAGTACTTTTTCTATCCTACTAAATCATTCAGAAATTTAATTACATTTCATCACTGGCTCAAATATGCAATACTTCTTATCTAGCTGCTATAACCCAACAAGAGAGAGCTGAGATTTTGAAAAGAAGCAGTGAAAAGAAGTCACATGCAGCTAAAGTAGATATGTGTTCTTGGATGGAAACAGTGTAATATTTTTCATCCTGGTCTTAAGAAGCGATGGTTTGGGTTTATTCAGAATGGAAGATTCCCTTCTCCAAGCTGCGCAGACAAGAAGACCTTTAGTGTGTGGAGAGAGACTGTGACATTAACCTGCAAGTGTGCCTAACTTGTGTCTAGGACTAAGAAGGGAGCTTACACAGGGACTTTCTCACTGAAGGTACAGTCACTTTCTGAACAGAAATTTAAGTGGAAGTATTATAAACTCCAGCTGCTTGCAGATATCACAGAAAGCTACAGCAAAGTTTAAAGATCTATTCAAAGAGATCCTTGCTGCTCCACCAGAGGAAGATAAAAAGAAAGAAAAGCACAATTCAGCTTGAGACAAAAATTCTTGAAGATTGTTATACATTGAATTCGATGGCATTTACGTATACTTTCTTGGCTAGAAGAAGTCAGATGGAAAGGAATGTTTTTAACATTTTCAGTATAGAAAGATTCTGAAGAGCAGCCACAAAGACAGAAGCAGAACGGCATTTAAGTGACATGCACTGAGAAGAGAAAAAAGAGCTTCTGCTTAGGTGTGTGTGTGTGCAAAGCCGAAGTTACATGCCTCCACAGTTCATGTATGAAGTTAATAAGGGGTTACTGAAGAACACACTTAAGATGCTAAAGAGCATGGGACACCTGTTATCTAGGAGATGCGTGTGCCTTCACAAGAGATAAATGTAAATCCTCAAAAACTCTGTAGCTGAAGCAAAGCAATTGCATTTATATGTTATTTACCCTGAAAAAATATCACAAATGCTGATTGTTATTTGACCTTCATTGGTCTGTTTGACTAATCAGTGGGGAAGCAACTGATTGAAAAGATAATGTCACATGTTGTGGGAATGGCAAATCTTTTGTTTCTTCATTTGTTTACAACAGGGTATTCCTTTATGGATGAGCTTCAGTAAGTTGCAATTCCATGTTCATCTGTGTCTGAGAAGTGTCAGAAGATTGTCTCTGACTTTTTGAGAGAATGTGTTGCTTTTTAAGAGACTAGAAAAATGCAAACATTCTTCACTGTGGAATAGTGCGTGTGGATCAGAATGGAAATAAAATCTGTTGTTCAGAAGAAGCCTATGGCTATCTCAGCACTAAATTTGAACAGTGTTGAAGGATTTCTGTGAATGATGGTCAATCCACAGTTCTGCTATGGATTTGGTATGTTTCTTTTACTGAGCTACAACTGTAGATTACTGATGACATTGCAACTGTAATGAAATAATTGCTTATTATAGCAGACTGAAAAAAATTATGGAAGAGTTGATATATCTGAAATAAATAGCACTGATGAAGCTTTTGCTTCTGTAAAAACAAAGAAGCTCCAAGTCTGTGGCAAGTATATGCCTTACATTTAATACATTGAACACAGACAATTGATGCTTTCCAAATACAGACTGCCAAGTACACAAAGAGCAAAGTTTAGTCAAAGTTCATCCTCAGGTCATGCACTTAGAGCAGCAATCAATCTGGAAAACCTCTCAATAACCTCCACATACTTCCAGACAAGATCTGGGGTCCTTTGTGTCCTGATTAGAGCATGCAACAGTTAATTTGTTTTAAATAGAAAATTAAACAGTTGTGTAAAGTGTTATATGAGGGTCATAAAATGGTTCTTGAGGTGTATTGGTGAGCTCTGCTTGGGATTCTGACTCTGCATCTTATTGCAACAAAGAGGAGCAGGATAATTGAAGAAAATAATTGCAATCTCTTCTTAATGAAAAAATAACAAGAGAAGTTGTCTTGAGAAAGTGCTAAATTGACTAAAAGATCCTTAATTGGTTTAATTCTTGGAGGCACTGTCCCTCTGTGACAAGGCCATGAAGAACTTGTGTGCCTCTGGCAGTGCAAAAAACATTGCTGGGTCAGGGTGCTAACAGGAGACAGTGAAAGAGCTCCTCAATTAAAACATTAAAAAACATAACTTGTTAGAAGGTGGTGGAAGGTGTCCTCTCCACTACACTGAGTAGCATGGTGATAACAGATGTGAGGCAAGTGAGAGGACTGTCATAGTAAAATAAAGACAAGGACTGATAGTGTTTTAATGTAGGTTAACCTAGGGAAGAAGCAATAAGCTAAAAGCAGATGTTAAGATGAAACAAAAATAAGTCTAATGCTGGTAATAAGTGACAAACAAGCCTCTGGAAATGTGGTGATTTGATTCACTCAAAACTTTTCACAATTCCTCAAATCTCTTACCTACAACATGGCTTCCTTTTTCTCATGATAGTAAAAAGATTCCTCTGAAAAAAAGGTCTTCCTTTTTCAGTGCTCTCCATCTCATAAGTGATGGAAACATCAAGCAGAGCAGCTTAAATGGAGTTTACATAAACATAGTTTATCTTTTTATGGAGGGAGATTACCTTTCTATCTTTAAAAAATATTGCATTCAAGTCAACAGTTGCGGCTCTGTGATAGTAAGACAAGGTTTTTTACTACTATTCAGTATGTTATTTTCCTGTTTTCTGAGCAGTCACTTCTAACAATTATTGAGTAAAATGCAGCAACTTCTGAAGAACACCAAGTATGTCAGATGTTTCCAGGGGTGAACTGTGCAGTGTGGCCTGATGGGACATCACTGTAAGAATAAATGGCAGGTCTGCGTAATTCAAAGAGGTTACTGTAGACATGATGCTATGTAGGATGTGATAGAAGTTCTGGTCTGATTTCAATTAGTTAAGAAAAATTTCAGCAGAATTCTGCATGTTTAATAAGCCACTGTGCAGGAACTCTCTCTGCTGCAATGGAAGGGATCTCATGTATCCCACATTCATCCCACTTCCCTGCAGTTTTCAGTGTGACAGATACTGATGCAGTAGGTGGGAAGTTCATAATCATGAACTTACCATGAAAGAAAAAGAGTACAAAAACATTGAAGTTTTACTTGAACATGAGGCTGTAGCAAATATGTACTCTTTTCTTCTCTTTCATTCCTTAATGGCACTTGGTTTCCTGGGCAAAACAGGAGCACGGTTGGCTGGGAGGGAGGGTTGAACCAGTCCTCTGGCAGTCTCACTGCTGTCCCTGACGTCCCCATTTGCCAGTGACTCTCCATGGTATCTGTTATAGTTGCTTGAGCAACACTGTGTCTTCCAGATGTTTGGCACAGCTCATGGTCCAACACAGAGCTTCTGGAACATACGTTGTGTTCCTTTGCCTCAGAGATCCATTTAGATGTGTTCGGAAGGACCTGTGGAGCTATGGCTGTTCACAGTCTTACTAGCTGAATATAGGAGGTGGATGCCCCATCCCTGGAGGCATTCAAGGCCAGGCTGGATGTGGCTCTGGGCAGCCTGGTCTGGTGGCTGGGCAGCCTGGGTCTTGGCGACCCTGCACATAGCAGGGAGGTTGAAATTAGATGATCATTGTGGTCCTTTTTCAACCCAGGCCATTCTGTGATTCTGTGAAGGCTTCACGCTCTGCTTATCAGTGGTGCATCTTATCAGTGGAGAATTGTAAGGAAATTTCAACAATGTATGGAAGAGTTATGCCTACTTATTGCAAATAATGCATGCACACATGTACAATGATTCACAGTTTGTTACAGCTGTGCACTACCACACACAGTGTCACACATACAAGAATCTTGGGGAATTTTGTTAGTTATGCACAACATTATCCAGAAGGTACATTGCAGAGGATTATGTTCTGCAAGTTTGTTAGCTACCGATAGCAACTATTTTTCTGCTTTAAAGATGCTTGTCATCTGAGGTGTATTAGCTGCCACATATGGCCAAAGAGACTTGTCATATCATCAGCTAAATAAATGTCAAGTAGTCAAAAAAATCAGTTCCAAAATCACCCACACACTTTCTGAAAAAATATCCTTCTTCAGAACAATTTAATGAGTGCTCATTAAAAAAATCCCTATTTAATGAAAATCAGGATAAGTATCAGGTTTACCGAAGTCTAGATTTATTCCTAGATAATTCAAAGACCCCAAAGAGGACTGTTTATTCTATAGAGAAAAATTTGCCTCTTGTTCTATGCTGTTTCTTCAGATGCTGTCTGAGTTCGGGGCATGGTCTGGTGGTGGAAAAAGAGGATACAGGATTTGGGGTAGGTGATGAATAGAACCTCCGCTCTGCCCTTTCAAGCCATGAGCCAGCGTGAAGAAGGACAGGTCTGTGTCATGCAGTGTGTGAGCAGAAGTGGGAGGTGTGAAGAAGATTATGACAGGGCTAGGAATTAAACAGGCCCGGGAGCTGGACACAGCTACCCAGCTAAAAGTGACTTTCACAAGTGGTGAATTTTGGTGAAGTTGACGTTCTTCTTAAAATCTTCACCATGAATGGCAAGAGCATGGGGCGGTAGAGAAGGGGTGTGTTGGTAAAGGCCCTACCAAAAATACTCCATAAAATGTAAAGTTTGCCTTTGTCAAGCGAGAAGCACAAATGATGTTGAGGAGGATCTACCTAAGTGCGGTGTACTCTATAACCATTAGTAACCCTGGGATAACAGAAATTTACGGAGGGATTGTCTCGTTGCTCAGGAAGACCAAACCAGTGTGCCCATTCACTGAGAACACTGGATGAATACTGTGCTATTGCTCAGCTGGCTGGAAGAAAGCACGGAAGGTAACACTCTATTCTTTTAAACTATGGATGCTGATCTGAGTTATTTAACCTAAAGAAACAGGTTAAACAAATGTTATGAGTTTTATTTTTTAACATTAATTTGCAGTGATATACAAGCAATTTGAGTCTCTAAG